TCCTTCACAAGCCACGTCTTCAACATACACAATCATGACCATAAGCATGTTGGTTTGACACTAGCTGACTAAAGAAACAACAAAACATTTAACGTGAATAAAAGTGTTATGTGTAAAACATTTGGTCTTAGCACATTACAAGTATAAAAAATTTAATCGTCAATTTTATTTACCCATTCTGAAACGCGAACCAGTAAAAATTCCCGCACCGAACCAGTTAAACGCGTGTAAATATTAACACGCATTATTGTCTCATACATGTTCTTACTTTTCGTACGAAGTAATGTTTTCATTGCTTTGTCCACTTCTTCTAATATTTTAACCGGAATACGTTAAATGTTTTCCATTTTCAAACCTTTCTTAATTCATACATTATTCACCAAGATACTAAGTTCATAAATATACATCGCAAGGCCAACTAAAATAGGCATATTTTGGAACAAACCTGACATCATGAAATACGTACATACCATATAATTGAAATTTTCAAATTGAAAATTATTCTTTAATGAAAACAAAACATATTGAATGTAACACGTTGATAAAGTGGTATAATAGCACTCATTGTAAATGAGAAAAATCGCTACTATCGTCGCTCGTTTTTTTGAACATTCCATTCATGCAATTATACTCATCTTCATACACTCGTTTCGTTAATTACTACAATGCCTCTACGTTCAATAAAATGGTTCATTCAACTATTTTGAAGACGAGATGGATAAGGGTGGATATTACGTAATCCCGTATTTTCATATGCATTCATAAGGCGATATATTGGATGGCTTTTAGTTCTGCATGGTCAGTTTATATGTTAAATTATTCTTGCTTGTCTCTAACTTGTGCAGCAAATATTGATATCAGTTGATATCTGTTCTTGCTTGTTTCTTTTGTGCTAGTAAGAAAGGGCTAATGTTCCTGACTGTAGAAATTATTCACAGATATGCACTACAGTTGCTTTGTTGGAATTTCTTTGGACGTTTACGTGATATCTGACGTTAGGGCATAAATTGAAGTATTGTAATATTTCGTAACCAGTCCCAATAACGCGCGAAAGTTTGTACTCTTAGTTTCATTCGTCCAATTTGTTTGACTCAAACTATGATGAAAAACTTTTTTTCGTACAACTTAATTGTCATTGATTAGAATACTGTAAATAAAAAATAATTACTTTTTTCTAAATATTACATTAGAACGAATATCAACTGTTAGAATTTATTCCTGAGAAATCATTTTAATTCACGAAATATATCATTGTAAATATAAGACGTCCTTTTAGATAACGTAATGTAGATCATTACAAATTTCTCTTGGTATTCATGACATAAGATGTAAGATATTTCAAAAACTGTCAGCGGGTAAGCCAATAAATTAAAATTATTTAAACTTATTTCCTACAATGCAAAAGTTGGTAATTGTTTCTTGTAATAATTTAAAAATAGATAATAAAACAATAAATTGATTCACTTCCTTTCCTAGAATTTTTGTCCATTTATTGATTAACTTACTTTTTGAACCTTAATTTATTATGACATTTTTATACCTACATTACATTTTTACATTTTGATGTAAATATATTAATTAAATATTTTTCGTGTTTGAGAATCTATGTTGAAAACTTACCATTGTCTTTGCCACTTCAAGATAGTTTTGGAGAATGCAGGTCCAATTCCAGTTTCTCTCCTTTCCTAAATGAACACAAAAATTTGGGTGGCTCATATTTCCAAATAAACTCGTTCCAAAACCACAAAGTCGGTTGTTAAGTTGTCATTGCATTAAACATGAAGAATTCTTCGACTGACCATCAAAGTGAATTTCTAATTTACTATTTTCGGAGCTTCAACTAACGGAGTGTTCTGATTTCCTTCAATAACAGTTTCCTGCTTTAAGAAAAGTATTTTTTGTTAGTTACTTTGGTAAACACGCATTTAGATCCTTAGCAACCAACAACTTAAACAACGCTTTAAGAGCGCGTCTATTGCCGTGGCCATTAAAATGCTCGAGTCTATGACGTATATTTTAGCAGACATTTGGATTTAGATTGTATCAGTGCTCATAAATCTTGGAATAAATATGACGTTCACAGAAAGCACAATTTTTGGGATTTAATGTATTCAAAATGTATTATTACAATTATTTTGGTACAGATATATTGAAAGTAGTATGCTAGAATAATATCTTTGTTAATGCCTCTAACATTCCTTTGCGTTAGCCAATCTTTCGCCATGCTTTCTCATAAATGATAACAGATTTACAAGCATCAAACTAGAGCTTGCAGCTTCAGCTTTCTGCAGAATGTCATCAGACACGAAATATTTTCTGATACTTCGAAAATCTGGATCATTTTTTCTCAATCAGCTTACGTCGTCAGAAAAACGATTCAACTGTTTGATTACAAAGAAAGCATCCGTTACTACCAACCCTTGATATAAAGAGTAAGGACAATTCTTAACTCATGAATGTGATAAAACTTTATTTTAAATAAGCGATAATCTTGAAATATCAGAAAACATTGAGTGTAACTTAAGGGCTTTCTCCTTAAAGACTCATTTAGAGGTCTCGTTATATAAATAACTATTAGGATTGGTCTCACCAAATGGCCGCTGACGCCCATAAGGGTCCTCTCTGACGCACGCATCAGCTCGCGGTCGACTGTTCCAACAGGTTATTTTCCATTGTTTATTCGATCAACACCAAGAGAATGCCGGAGCAATACCGTAAGAATTGGGCCACGGACCGTACGCGCTCTTTCCTTCCTCTTCCTTTTCCTATCCCTATCCCTTATTTACACAAAAATTACACCTACCACCACGATCACACATGTCGGAGTCTTTTAAAGATTTTGATTTTTGATTTATTTTGTCAGTGAACTGTAACTAGTTGTGTTAAACCACATACTTTCTCGCAACATTACAGTGTTATATTTATCTACGACGCACTGTGGTCTGAACGGAGCCGAAACTCGCGCATAGGATATTGAGTTAAACAACTATTTATTAATGATTTTAAAGCGATTTATTAGTTTGAATCTAATGAAGCATGTTCAAGGTATAGAAATAATAATGTCCCACTTAATTTATATTGCTAATTTATTTATTTATGTCGTAAACAATACTGGTATTTATCTGACATTACTGAAGATGAATAAAAAGGTTAATTTCTTTGTACAGAAGTAAAGAAAAGATTATTACAAGGATTTACCCCATGACTCATAGGAGAACGGGTTAGACAGAGCGATAATAAACAATTAAAGTGGAATAATGCATACTCTAAATAATCTTATATTTCCTGGAATATTAAAGTGCCATCTGGCTAGAGTAAAATATTTAAAATATTTTTTTGATACCTTAATATCTGTGTAAATTATTTGCTTCGTATTTTGGATAATGTCGTCAATATAAATATTAATAAGTGTCTGTAAAACTGAAAATCCTTGTCGCACTCGTCTGTTTTTCAATATTTTATCAGTTTCATTTATTCATACTTTTATTACAATAGTAGAGTTTTTATACACGCTCTCTATTACGTCTACAAGCTTTTCAGTGTAGCCATTAATTTCCATTATAGACCAGAGTTTCATTCTAGTTACGTTATAGAAGGCTTTTATAACATCTACGAAAACTATGTTTCTCTGTCGATAGAAATCCTTTCTTTTTTGTATTATTCTTTGCAGTATGAATGTATTGCCTGTTGTCGAACTCCCTTTTCTAAAACCGTGCTGTTCTTCACCAATGAGAGTTTGTGGGATACATTTTAGCAATTTATTTAATATTCTAGCGTACAACTTATATACTGAATTTAAAATGCTGATTCCTCTGTAATTCTTACAATCTTTGCAAGCTCCTTTCTTGAATATGGATATTACTTTAGCAGTTCTCAATACGAAATTTTAATTAAAATTAAATTAATGATTTTTCGTATCGATCATTCAATTTTTCTCATGGCCCGTAGGTGGTGTAAAACCTGTATATATTTCATTAATTCCAACCAGAAATAACGCAAAAACTACCCATTTTTTAAAAACTTTGTACATTACTTTTTTAAAGAGATTATTTTATACAATAGACTTTAAAGCAACAATCTCTATCTTCATTATTTAAATTTAAAATGTGTTTTTTTGAAATTAAAAAAAACTAGCAATACCTGAAAATGAAACTAGTTCCATTTTCGTATCATCTCTTATTACATAACTGAAGAAAATTTGGCGCGGTTTTTGAGATTTTTTTGTAAATTTCAATTACAATCAGTATGCATAAAACCATTGTTTTTTTTCAAAAAGTTGTACATGACCGTGTTTGAAGAGCTACGTTAGTGCAGCAGACTTGCCTTCCTTAAAGTCATCAAATTTAATTTCTCTTATTGCATGATATAATAATGCAAACTTTTCAGTTGCCTGTCCAGGCTTAATGAAATGTGAACAATTATTATTTGCAACTTGTTAGAATCTATAATCACTCACCTGAAATACGAATTGGATACAGTTTGTACTGTTCGCTTCCAACGTTTCCCATTATTAATTATCATTAGAGAAAAATAAGAATAATACATCAACAAGCTTTGAATTATTTAATGCAAGAGATTACATATTTAACAACAGCAAAAATTCGCAATAATTACTCTTATTTTTGTGACATGATCGATCTTCTCTGTGTATGTATGATTAAACATGCACATATTGATTTTAATAAATTTTACAAGCCTTATAAAAATTGTAAGATATAAGTTTAAATTGTCACGTTTCTTAGAGGTATACTCGCACTACAGTATACAAATATTACACACCATTGATCAATAAATAATCAAAAGAAATACATAGTAAAATACAATTTGTGACGACAATAAAATGGCATATATAAATTCGGCGATTATTAATGATGACTAATTGTGAAAACTGGTGTGGTTCGTATTTGATAAGAATAAAATTCTCATTTTAAAGCAAATATCTTTACTATCAAAGAAGGGCATCTTTATGAAGACTTGTTCTCAGTATAACGTATAGACTTTTTTTTATATCCCTCCTCTTTTGTTGACTCCAGTCAGCATTGTATAATAAGAGTATATAAGATGCATTATCTGAAACAAAATGCAAAAATACATTATGCAATTCAATCACATAATGGATATATTAGACTCTATATTAGAATACTTTACGTAGAAATGTAAATTTTCAATATAAAAACTTGTTTTAGGACCTCGCTCTGTTACCTTTTGTTTTCCAGTAATAAAACTGCACTAAATATCTAATTTCTGTCACGTGCGGCGTTAGAAGTTCTTTAAATGGGCCAGTTTTATTAATATCAAACAGTTTTCGTATTTCAACCCCAGCTACTTCTACATCCCAAACCTAAACCGTAAGTCATTAAACAATAGGAATGGCCTAACAGCACTAATACGCATCTGAACCAAATGTTTTGGGACGATTACCTTTTTCTGGAACCCAAAAAGACAAGTATGGCGACTTTTAGTTGTGTCAATGCTGTTTCAAACCTGATTTTGAGAAATGAAAAGTTTGCGAGTTCAAACACAACTAAGCCGTGGATTTTTATGCGCGAAAAAATCCTTCTTACCCCTTCCTTTGGAGAGGAAGTAAAGCCGGCTGCCCCATGTTGTTGCTTTACTGTATGTAAAAGATTCTGAAGACGAAAAGAAGCCTCTGAGATAAATTCAAAATCGCCTATTTTGTCTCCCGAGTAATAATTTTTTCTCCAGATCGTGAAAGGAGCTTAACAAAATTTGTGTGATCACATGGAAGAGCTGACTTCATGGCCCGAGTCTCGCCACGTAAAATAGGCATTAAGTAACTAACTGCTGCATCGCTAAATCAGTATCGGCGAATAAGTTTTATTAAAATCCACAAGTGGTTTACCACCATTGTGAGGAAAGAAAGTGAATGAAAACTTCAATTTCGTCTAATACAGTTCAACCTCAAACCCGTGTGTTTGTAAAAGTATCGTAACATCAATACTTACTGATGCATAACTTTTCAAGTTGAGTGGAGAGAATTTGCCGATTGTTATTTTTGCACATCTTGATGTGCGCATTTTTATTATACTTATATCACGTCGAATTCTTATTGATGAACGGTACCATTCAGAATTGTAGGCGGCAAAATCAACTTTCAAACTCTGTGAACAAAGTGAGCATTAAATTCTGCATTATAGTTGAACAAAAATACATAAAATTAAAATAAATATAAGATTGTGTAGAAAAGCGAACAGAAAAATTGACATCAAATTGTGTCTGTGAAGAATTCGACGATGTAAATTTGCAAACCGAACTACAAAACAAACTCAAAAAAAGCAAGGACGGGGGAATGTTCGAAATGCGTTTCTTTTTAGTATCAAGAAGGGGTCATCGTGAGAACTCGGAAGAAGTATAAATGAAATTTACCAATCAAATTATAATTTTCTATTCAAAATATGAAATAGTTATATAAGAATATGTTTCCTTGATACTTTCAATTGTGGACCACGTAGGTCTATTATTTTAACTAATGACCGTAAGTCCACTTATTCAGATAATTAAGTATATAATTTAATATATTATTTCAGTAGTAGGTATACATACCTCTTCAGGGTCTCACACGCAACTAACCTTTATAAATGAGATCTTTAAGGATCATTTCACGGAAACGTGATGAATTGTATATTTCTTCAAAAATTGGACGGATTTGTTTATAAAACGCATCCAAATATCCATGTTCAATGCAAATTGCAGCACTCATTCAGGTATATCTTTAAGTAACTCCTAAATAAAGCGTTTTAGATTCTTAAAAACTAAATGTTTGAAGAAACGTTTATCACACCGTAATTGAAACGAAACGATGAGGTATTCTTGTATATTTTATTCTACTTTTGCAAGTTCGGCATCTATCGATGTTACCAATGCTACCTATATTTCAACTGTTGGTGATGATTCTTTGTGACGTCGCGATTAGAAAACTTAGATTTCTCTATCTTATACTACTTACAATTTTTGTGTACCCCGTGGTTTGCGCAGACTGACGAGGTTTATTTGCATTATTAATTCAAGATTCGCTCTCACAGCAACAACTATTAATAGTTACTTGATTCCGATGATTCTTTCTTATGCGTCTAGTGAGAACATTTATTTAACATTTTTCCGAGGTTTACAAGTGCTGTTTACCTAATTGTGGAGGGATGTGGATGTATAGTGAAGAGTGAAGACGTCTGATTGGTTTTGGTAAGTGTTTAAACTCTACCAGTATTTTCGTTATCAACAGTGATTCGGCCAAACTTTCAAGTCAGCGTATTCAGTGACGTAGCTTTATTAAGAGTAAAAACTTTTTTAATATTTTTGTGGCTATCACGAAAAGCGAAATTCTAACTGTCAAATAATATGGAATAAAAACTTTTCAAAAACTTTTAGGGGAGTGTTGTGAATTGTTCCAAGAAATTTCACGACAATACTGAATAAATATTTACTAAAAATTTATTTTCCACATAAATTGCATAGTTTTTATTTTTATTTGATATTGTGTTAGTACAAAAAAAGTTACCTTTATACATTTGTATACTAATAAATACGTTTCGTTTTCAACTTTCCCCTATACAAAGACAACAGAAGGATAGAGAAGAATGCAGATTTTAATATGCGACAGTTCTCGCACGGGTATGCGGAGGTAATAGGGGAAATATTGGGATATGACCCAACACAAAGATCAAACATTTTTAAATTAACTAAAGTAAAATACCTTGAAATAAATTAACAACAAAAATTAAAATGTGCTAGACGACAATATTACGTAAATGAATTTCAAAAGCAACCAAGTTTAAAATTATAGAAACAATAGCGCAAGTCACTTGAAAAGAACCAACGACCACTATCTAGATCCACGATTTAAACGTTGGCAGTGTCTGGAATCTGTATATTAAAGCTCAGCTGTAAACTCACATTGTAAATAATACAATGTTTCATATTAAACTTATGGTGTCGGTTCGCTGACATAGTCAGTATGTAAACATCGTTTGAGCAACGATATCATGTACCGATTAATGTCTACGTCTTTTGAATTGTTTCTAATGGAAAAAATTGTATTTATTACTCCAAGCTGAAAATATTAGATTTACTATTTTTTGGCTCGGATTGCTCTTCTTGGGGTACGTAATAACGCAGAAAATTTATTTAGCACACACAAATATTTTTTTAATATTCGCACCCTATCAAGATGTCGTACTGACCCTCCAATACCCCCTCTTTTCCTGATAACAAATCCAGGAAAGTTAAATAATATTGCAAAGAGTGTTGTTGTACTTGCCCAATCTTGTGTTTTCTCATGTAAAACTTGGCTTTCTCAAAAGTAAACACCTTTTCTAGTATTTTTGGGACTACTCATGAAAGCGAAAAAGCTAACTTAAGGAAGATTGAATAATTACTTCAAATATTTTTGAGGTAGGGTGAATTGTTCGAAGATCATATCTATGTAATACTGAATGGACTTCTATTGAAAAATGATTTCCAACTTCAATTGCATTATTTTTATTTTTGTTTGATATTCTGTAAATACGAATTTACATTTATACAAACATTTTTTAACAAATTAACGTTTTATTTACAACTTTCCTCCTTAATGGGAAGGATAGAGAAAGGATGTGGATTAACATGCGAGAGTTCTCGCACGGGTACGCTAGTTTAATTTAGTAGCAAACTATTTTGAAAACTCTTTTACCCCAAAGACATTTTTTAAATCAAAAATATAATGACGAAATTGGAAAAATTATGTCTTAATTTCTTCTGTGCCTTTCAATATTAAATTTTTATCTTCTCATGAGGAATTAATTATAACAAAAAAATGAAAATTCTTTAAGCGTCATAATATGATTTGATATCTGATAAAATGCGAAAAGAATTTAATTTATTCGTTAACAATTAAATTAATTAGCGTATTAAATTCTATTCTTGGAATTTCGTACTTCCCGCATATGTGAAAAATTGTACTTTCAATGCATTTCACTTCAAATGTCCTTCCTTTCTATAAACCTGATAAAGACCCACATAACCCGATGAATTATCAACCTATTAGTTTTATATATTATTTATCAAAAGTTTTTGAAAAATTATTATTAACACGTCTTTCTAATTATATTTCCTCTATTAACGTTATTCCTAATTGTCCGTTTGTATTTCATTCTAACAACACCACTTCTCATCAACTATTGTTAACGAGAAATGTTTCTGTGTTTATAGCAAAGTTTTCACTTAAAAGAATATACAAATGCCCTTTTTTAGATAAAGCCAACCTTTTACTGAAGTATGGCATATTTGTTCATTAGACCAATTAAGTGATATTGATACTCCACATAGGTCATTAGCAATTATTAAAAACTTTCCTTTAATCACTTTTTTTGCTAGAAAAAATAACTCTTCTCTCTCCAATCTCCGTCCTATTATCTACAGAATTCTTCAAGGTTCAACTCTTTCTTCTCTCTTATTTTATCTAGTTATGTAAAAAATACCCCTTTTCCTTTTGTTACTTTGAATCTTTATGCAGACAACACTGCACTATTCTTCTCCCATCCAAATTTCAAAATTGCACGTAACATTATTCAGAATGCAATTAAAAAATAAATATATTGGAATCAGTTTGGAAAATACTTTCACACAAACCTGAAGCACAATTCTTTACTTTGTCACCCTTCAAATCCTTCTTCTCTTATCATTAACAAGAAAACCATTCCTCGGTTTGAAAATAATACTCCTGTTAAATATTTAGGAGTTTATTTGGATCAAAGCCTTTCATGAAAATTTTTCTTATGTCCAAACTGCAATTGGGAAAAATATCATAAGATCTCAAAGTTATATGCTTTAATAAATAAAAACTCCATACTCCGAATTAATTGTGGAATCTTGTTATATCACACCATCATTAGGCCTTCTCTTTCATATGCCTACCCTCTTTGGTGTAATGCCCCTGCGACCAATATGAATATATTTCAATACATTGAAAATAAATTTCTTAGCAAGATTGTACATGCTTTCCGATTTATGTCCAATATACAACTTCATATGGAACTTCCAATTGATCATTTCAAAACATTTATTCTTAAATTCACAACGTGTTTCTATAACAAATGATCATTTTCACCTATTTTTCAAAACTTCACTTCAGTTCAAAACTATATTTTTCATCCTTGAATCCGATCACGTTTTCCTAAAGATGTTTTTCATCGTCCGTGATTTAAAAATTGTTTCATTTTTATTTACACATTTCATAATTAATTTGTATATGCAATAGTTAAATTATATAGTACTTTAATTACATTATTGGTAACAATTTACCCAATAACGAAATGCTGGCATCTTGCCTCAACATTATGTAATACATTTATAATCAACTCCCAGAAAAATTGTAAAGCAATTGAACAGATGGCTAATAAATATTTTTTTTAAAGAGAAAAAATGTTTGATGTACAAAGTTAGATGTAGAAAATATTGAGGTAGAGGAATCAGACAAATAGAATTTTCTGATGTTTATCTTTGTGTTTTTGATTTACTTCACACTATTTACCTTACACAAACACACCCACACCCACTCACATGCACATACGCACACCAAATTGTCACTTCTTAATTGATATACAATTTTATTGATTATTTCGAAATTACATTAACGATCAAAGAAATTATAGTGTCATTTAAGTCAGAATACTGGTTTTTATCATTATTACAGTGTGAACATATTTAAATATTTTAATTCATCACAATTGTATTTGCAAGATAAATTGTTGAAAAATAAATCAGATATTTAAACAAAATAAAGGACATCAGATTTTTATGAAGAAATTTTCTACCAACTATTTCAATAATTTCATATAATGTTCAGAAATCTACCTTAATATTCGATGGACATGCTGTTTCTGAACTTACCTGGTCCATGAGATGATCACCTACTGCACAGAATATACCTAGTTCAAAAACTGCTGCACCAAACACACATGCACATGTTAATATTCGTACGTCCAATGAAGGGTTCTAAAACATTTACAATCACAAATTAGAAGGAGAACAAATACATGAAAATACGCAACCTAATACACTCGTATAATTAAAATATATGTACGTGTATTTCGACTTACCAATGCTACATTGAAAGCTGCCATGCAACAAATGATGGAACTAGATCCAAATTGGTTTAACAAAACTGGATTTGCAAAAGATTCAACATCATCTACGAATCTGCAAAAATGAAATTGAATTGTTCTGGTAAAGGCAAACTTATGAAATTCCCTCTCCATTATAATTTTATTAGTAAATAATTAAAAATAATGGATGAACTTGGTGGTTTCCGAAGAAATCTTAAAGAAATTAGTATCAATTTATATTCTATCAATATTAATAATAATAATAATAATAATAATAATAATATAATGATTTCTTCTTTGAGCTAAATAAAGTGTGTGTCGATTGCTATAAGCCATTTCGCATATTTGAAAGAAATAGGCCTATGGTAGTCCTTCATGTAGAGCTCATACGCATTCGCATGACACAATGACCATGTGTTTCCAAGATCGAGTCCCAGTCTCTAGCAATCGCCACTCGGGTGATGAAAGTTTCTTGTTCAACTCCCGGATTCGGTATTTTTTGTACTTGGTTTTCAAAGCTTAAAATTAATTAAAAATTGATTTTGATTTATTATTTTTATGTAATGTTTTACATGATAAAATAAAAATACAAAATTAAAGAAAAACAAAAATGATGTAAAAAATAAATAAACTGATTTTGGGAATATGTGTGTGAAAGTGGTATTATGTAAAAAGTGGTAGTTGTAGTCAGCGGGAGTGTGCCCTGAATATTATTTGGAATGAACAGCGAAGCGGTATTTTGAAATAGGTTTTTTGATGCGACTTTCATTACAGGGTATATGGAACATTTTCAAGTGTCTGGTATTGATTTGAATAATTATCTTTGCAAGCTGTTGTCATGATACACTTTTTGTTATTTGTTACTACTTATTTGGAAAATTTCAACATGCACCAAATTAGAACCACCCATTGTCAGAAAATTTAAAAATAAAGTTAAACCATGTGACATTAAAATTATGAAAGAAGAATATCCTATGCGAGTTCAGTCTGTCATTCTTAGCATTCATTCAAAGACCTGCAATGTCAGGTGTCGGCAGATCTTTTCCACAGTTATGGCACAACATTTTTCGACACAAAACAGAATGAGCATCACATGGAACTGAGAAAAACCAAACGTACGGTTTCGTGAATGATTTTTTAAAGTCACATTTGCCCCAATGCTTATTGCAATATTTCGAACAAACATTAAGTTTTTGTAATTCATTACAACAACAAAGTTATAACAATATACTAATAGTATAGTTCTTATTTTGAAATCACGAATATTCACCGGTAATCCTCCTGGAGCTAGTCATTCAATAAATATTGAATTTTAAGTCTTATTTTAATTAAAATGTACGATTTGCAATAAAATCAACTAACGTCTATGAGTTATGAGATTTGGTAGTTATTCAAATGTCAGTATTGTGTGTAAATGACAGTATGAATGTACAGCACGTAATAAAGAGAAAGTATTTCAATGTTTCAGAGGAAAGTGACGATTGTGGAGTAGAAAATCTCGTGTTGTGGCTCTCAGATATCTAAGACCTATATGAATCTTGCCCCTGTATATAGTATATTACTTTATGTACTATGTATGGCAGAATTCTCGTTTTGTCGTTTCTTGAACTACAAAATTGGTTGCGGCATGACATGTCTCTTTTTCCGTCCGTCGGTCTGCATTCAACACTGGAGGCTAAACCGTGCGGACATTTTCTCCACTGTTGAGATTCCCCGATCGATCTGGCCGAACTCGAGGTCCGAATGTTGGAAACACTTTTGCATGTTAAAACAGTATTTTTATATTGCGTAGCCGTTGCAAATTATGCGAGTATGTGCGCACTATTGTAGCGCCGACATTTTCCAAAAACCCTTGTTTCTGCCTCTACACACAATTAACCTTTATGTAATATAAAATCAGGAGAGTGTATTCAAGTGGTCAAAAAACATACACATATACTTGTACTTCTCTCCTCGTTGTCATATAGATGTTCCCTCCTCGTCTTCATTTCGTAGAGTAATTTTTTTACATTGAATATATTCCTAGGATTAGATACAAGTACTAATTTTTATAACTAAAATGGTTGATTGATGCGAACGTAGCAGGTGCGTGAATGTTAACCATTCGATGAATGAGACAGTCTTACGACGGAGAATTAGGCGTACTTATGTATAATAAAACGATGTTGATAATGTCTTCAAATGTAATTGGGCTTTATTGTGACAGTTACAATGTAAACGAATATGATTTCTGGTAAATTTGAATATTATCACACAGAAACTTCCCGCGGCAGTGGTTCGTTATTCGAATGTAGTGCAGGCGTAAAGCGTAATTTCAAAATGCTAGACCTCTCTCGCAAGATGTGGCCCTTGTATAGAGAGTCACCTGTACACCATGTCGTGGTGGCGGACAATGGCCTTGAGCCTTCGCCGCATCTCCACGTCCACCTCTACCTTTTCTTCCTTCTCCCACACATCCGCTTGCGCCTCCGCCTTCTTCTGCGCCTCCACCCCGCCAAGCGCTGCGCCCCGCCTGGCTCGCACCGCCGCCACGGAGCGCGCGCGCAGCTCCTGCACAACACACACAGATCGCCCTCAGCCCCCCGTTTTGCTTCTGCGCCTTCGCCTGTCACACTCTCTCGCCAAGGAACGCGCGCACAGCACTTGCGCAGAACATCCTCAGCCCCCACGACGTTTGGATTCGTTCACCTGCAGTCCTTAACCCTTGGACACTGTTTCTCCATTACTTACGTGTACTCCGTTTGCGATCATATTGGACCCCACACATTGTACCCGGTAGTTTATCTGTACTTAATGTACGGATTCTATTTGGAATTATTAATTAAGAAAATGATGCTATTTATTTGCTTCATCTACTACATTATTAAAAAACGAAGAATAATATTTCCAACAAAAAAGTACATAGTATTCTCATAACTGTTCATTGGTATATACCATACCAGCATGAGAAAGTCTGAATCGAAACTACCAACTCGCAATAGACAAATACGTAAGAGTTTTTATTCCGAAATAACAACTTAATGTAGTAAAACAGAAATGGACACGTTTTTGAATTTTTTCTTATAATTTGTGTAACGTGATGTATACGTGGGAGCATTTCTGACCCCATCTGCATAAAAATCAAAATATCTTCAAACCAAGAACATTTTAAAAACTGTAAGTTTACAACACGTAAAACGAGACGAAGAAGTTCATGTGAATTTTCAGATCATTTCATTTCATTTCATTTCTGTCATGTAGAAAACGCTCCAGCGTCTGATTTTCTCCTAAATTGCTAAAATATTATTGGGAATTTTATTGGGACGTTTGTTGTGATTAAACAGTGTCGGGTATACTTTCATTAAACAAATAAAGGTTAAACTTGATCTGTTAAACTTGGTACGTGCAAAAGAGTATAACGATCGTCTGTTTATTCTTAAGGCAAGTTTTAGGGATACACGTTGTTAAGCGGGAATCACGTGATCGTGATTTTGATTTCGGGTAGGAAATGAGTGTGTTCGATAATCATGGGTAAATTGTTTTTATAAGCTTTACTTTTTTACTACATGGTCAGGGATGGTAGTGCATGTGTAACACTATCTAACCTGGATCGCATCGATCTGGATTTATACACTCTCTGTTATCTGAATTGCATAGCTCCTGTAATAATTTTGTATAATTTTAAAACAATATTTCTACTCTAATCTGAAATTAAATAAGAGAACGTAAACTTTAATGATTTTCCATTACAATAACATGCTCTCTCATCATTTTCTTTCATATTATTATATTGAACGTATGCAACTGGATTCGTTTTGTGATAATGATTTTTCTTACCTCCAGAGATGCTTGGATGATCTTGAATTGCGCAGATGCACTGTGCAAAAATGTGAAGAAGAAATTGTCGTACACAACCAGCATTAGAATGCACATTAGTTCTACCAGGATATTTTCCAAGTATATTAATGTGTACCAGGGCTCGCTTACTCTAAAAATAAACAAAAAGTAGTAAATATAAATCAGTCAGGAATGACGAGGCAATACGCTTCTATTGGCAAAAAATATATTCCAAAGAACTCGATGTGGTTTTATTTATTTTTATTTATTTTACTTCAAGAGTTAAAAACTGTGTGACTTGCTACGAGGAGAATTGTATTATGTGCAGGTTTTCTTAATTCTGAGATCCCTACCATAAACCATATACAAACTGAATTCTGAATACAGAAAGAAAATACTTTTTTGCAAGGATGGTTAACAAAATATTCGTTCCGATGTAATAAAATCACCTCTGCCGATTTCGAGAACTCGGGTGACGCCGAAATTTTAACCGAACTTTGCAAAGCCAAATGGTCACCGATGACTCTGTGATTAGGCAGAGTACACCGCGTTCTGCGCGCCTGCCAATTGTCTAAAACGAAGTGGGGGGAGGGCCACGTGACCTCGCGGATCAAGGGAGACCACCGCAGCTCACCAGTTCGGCCATGCGAATGTAGACGGCGAGAGCGAAAAGTTCATTCTGATGAAGGAGGCAAGGGTGGAAAGTTTTTTTTGTCGTTGGCAAACGCAGCTGAACGCGCTGCCGTAAGATTGTGCAAGAACGGGACCGCCGACGACTGATGAGAATCATTACACGTGACAGAAGTGCAACCCTTCTGCAAACTGCCGCAGATTTCTATGCTGGACTATCAACAAGTGTCAGAGTGCGAACCATTCGACGAGGCATTATCAATATGAAGTTTTAGAGCCGAAGGCCCCCTCGCCTACCCTTGATGAAAGCACGACACAAAGCTTTACGCCTGGTCTGGGCCGGTCAACACCGACATTGGACTGTTGGTCACTGAAAACACGATGCTTGGTCTGATGCGTCTCGTTTCACATTGTTTTGAGTAAATGTATGAATATGGAAACAATCCCATAAATCCATAAACCCTGCATGTCAACAGGGGACTGTTAAAGCTGGTGGAGACTGGATTGTATGAGGCGTGTGCAGTTGGAGTGATATGGGACCCCTAATACGTCTAGATACGACTCTGGTACAGGTACGTAAACAGCCTGGCTGATCACCTACACTCATTCATGTCCATCGTGCATCCCTACGAACTTGTGCAATTCCAGCAGAACAATGTGACAGCTCACATGCCCAGAATTGCTACTGAGTGGCTCCAGAAACACTCTTCTGAATTGAAACATTTGCACTGGCCACCAAAATCCCCAGACATGAACATTATTGAGCATATCTGGGATGCCTTGCAACGTGCTGTTCAGAAGAGATCTCCACCCTCTCGAACTCCTACGAGTTTATGGATAGCCCTTCAGGATTCATTATGCCAATTACCTCCAGCTATTTCAGACATTATCCGAGTCCATGCCACGTCGTGTTACGTCAGTTCTGCGTGCTCGCGGTGGCGCTACACGATATTAAACAGGTGTACAAGTTTGTTTGGCTCTTCAGTGTGAATAGGCGAGACTATGGCAACCCAACACCGATCCCCGAACTAGTCTGTCATAAAATGAATAAAACTTTCGTCTTTCCTGAGCGTATGATGTAGGGTTCCAACATATATTATAAATGTTTAAAAATATTGTTTGTGTTTTAACAATAGATACAATATTATAATAAACACTAAAATAAATGTACAGAACTGTTGCATTTATTTTTAAAGTGTATTTAAAATCATAAACGATTTAAAGATGGGAAAAGGGTAAAAATAGTTTTCAAGTTTTTTAATTACTGCATAGCAAGCGGACAATTACGTGTAAATCGAAACAGTGCGTTGAGAGGAAGTTTTGAGAGATGTGTGTCTGTTATGGAGTTCTGAAAAGTGCTTCGACACATTTTTTCCGTGTTTAAAACTGTCGCAATACTAAAGTTGCATGTCGCAGGTCTCCCAATCGAACTGGGATACATGGTACAAATGTTGCGAAACATGATGTAATGTGGACATGTCGGGAGACATAGTTCTGTGACAAGACGATTCCAGACTACTGACCTGCTGCAGTTAGTCGCCCCATGGTGTTATGTTCTGAGTTCTGTTATTTTGTAATGGAAACTGTTCTAAAAACTGAAGATTGAAAGCAGCGCTTCTGTACATGTTTATTTTAATTTTTTTATCCATTGTTGAAACACTCACTAATAATAGGGAATGTTCGAAAACGTGAAAAACATTTAATAAAAAAAGTTTGTTTTCCTATTCAAATTTAACGTAAATATTATGACACTTCAATACATTGTTTTCCCAAAGAACCCTCCTTCCGTAATAAATATACAGTAGGTAAATAATTTTTTTATAAAATATTACCTCTAAAAATCCTTTTAGCGAAGTAATTAGCAACTCACAGACTTCTAGAATGATACGTAAAGTACATTGGTTTGAAACTCGAAAGGCACACATTAATCTTGTAAAAGATTCACCACTGGTAAGGAACCGGATAGTGTCAGCTATCCTGATAGAAATAAGAATGGTATCCTGAAATAAAGTTTTGTTCTTTGAAATCGTTTCTCCCCAAGCATTTGCAAACGGATTTCAAAATTGGTTGACTCTACCCTTAAAAAAATACGGAATCCCTTGCCATCTAATTTCATACTGTTAAGAAGATTAATGCCAACGGGAATGCCTATCAAAAAAAGACTTCTCCTCCAGTAAGGCATATTTTTTGAATTTTTCTTTGTAACAGCTTTTGATTGTTTAAGCACATAAAGCAATTTGTTGCGACATCACTTTTTGGTACAACTGGCTGTCTAGTTGAGGACGCGGGACAATGTTTCTCAACAGTCCAGGGACAATGTCTCGCGACTGTCCCCATACAAAGTCCCGCGACATTGTTGCTAGGTGTGTAAGAAGCTTAAGACGTAGAAAAACATTTATTTTTATTTTTGCATATAAATTTGGCGCCGAGAAATTTTAAAATAATATTTTTCTGATAACATTAATTATTTTCATATTTTACATGAAATAAAATAGTGTTGAATTTATGAAAAAACACGTTTTTGGTTAAAGAAGGTGTTTGTGGTAGGACAGAGACAAAGAAACCGTTCAAACATCTTATTTTTAGTTTACAATCATAGTTTAACTACTCATCGATCATTTGTTTTTAGGACAATTTTTATCATCTAATCCGAGATCTTTTTAATTATAGATTCCCTTTGAGTTTTAATACTTACTCGTCATACGGAGTCCAGTTGTGAAAAGGGAAACTAGGAACGTCGTGTTCCATTGGGACTGTTTCATTGCCTGTTGCGTTGTAATTTCTGTAGCTATTCTGCATTCTTAGTATTTTTATCGCTGGTAGAACTGCCACTCCGACTGCAGGTAATGTTATTATTATTATCCACAGAATACGAAAAACTTTAAGTTCGTTCCAGTATTTCTTGAGTATGACTGGAAATATAGTAAGCATTTTATCGCTGTAGGACGTTTGTTACGTATTGATTAATTTAAAAAATTAAATTATTGTAGTACCTGAAAATGTTGGGTCAATAGTTTGTTCGGGCATCCCAAAGTTGTTTTTAACAGTGGATGCCAATTTCATAAAAAGCTGGGGTTTCGCAAACATCACCATCCATTTGTGCCACGTGATAGAAAAGATACAAACAAATTGTAACGTGTCAGCCAAATCTTCAAAATTATTTAGGTTGTGACGAATCTAAAATCATGTTAAAAATAACCTTGATACACAGCAAACAGGTTTATATGTAAATTTAATTCCAGAACGTGATTTATTGCTTAATTTCAGATTCGATTAGAAGTATTTTTTCTAAAACACTAAAAACAAGTGGCTTTTGTGCAATTTCAAAGTACTAATATTACTTTGTTAGATCAATTACAGAAGATATTTTTATGTATTCTTTATTGCTTTTGCTCTGGGTTTAATAAAAAGCTTGAAAACTGTTAGAGGAAAAGTGAAAACAAAGCACATTTCCTACATATGCATTTTTTAAACTTTCTGTGTTTGAGATTTCAAGTATCCGTGGCGGTTCATTAACAGAATTGAAAGTGGGTGGTAGGTTCCCACCGTGTAAAAGAGCTTGGACGTGTTTAAAGGAATAAAATAATATTATCTTTCATGTGAAGGTGAATTGATTGTATTTCGCGCTTTTCTGTGGTCAAAACAAAATTTGGTATTATCATTCTTACTATATTTGAGAAAATATTTTATTTATAGGAGGGACTAGGTGTCTCAGTGAAGTGATTGTAATTATGTTTTATAAAATAAAAGGCGAAAACCAAAACAATATATATCAGGAATAGCGTATACAAGAAAACTGTTCTTAAAAGAAATTAGTTTTCATTTCAGAAATTGAAATATTTGTAGTTTTATTTTGCAGGAACTAGAAGGTGACACAGAATTGTGTTAAAAGTAAAATTAAATTGAAAAACATCTACTGTCTTTATGTAACCTCTTCGTAGAAAAGATAGAAGAAAAAAGCGTGTGCAGGAATAACGATGTATATGCCCCTGCCAACTCGATGGCCTCCTTTGGGAAATATGTTAGTAACGTGTGACAGCCAGTCTAGAAAAGAGGCATTGGGTTCTTCAAGTGGATTTTCTTGGAAGTGCTGCGACACCTGTAAAGGAGCGTAATGAACATAAAACAATGTACGTGCGGTCTCGTTTTTTGAAGGATAATTTGACTCGTGAACATATACTAATCCCACAATATAAATAAATATGAAATTCTTAAAACAGTATTTAAAATAATGTAATATTCCACAGCTTTGATCTATTTTGAAACTGTGTTGTAACAGCACATGCTTTGAATGAATAATATTCTACATGGCCTCCCGCCACGAGAAGAATTTTGAAGAACAGGAATGGATAGGATGTGGAAATAATTTGTTCTTTGAATTATAGTATACTTTCGAAAATTATAATATTAATTCTATTTTTACTTTACTCTATTATTTATATTCTACATGTATTGATGTATTTATATTCAACCACTCTCAAGTCTTAATTGAAATTATTCCAATTACGTTCCAATGACTCTTTAAAAATACAATTTAAATATAATATGAAAAAATATTTAAATAATATTTCAATACGATCATTTTGTTGTCGTTATTTGCGTAGACTATTAAAACCAATTGTGCTTAACAATGTATGTAAAATGTGCCAATGAGGGTGAAGTATCTAAAAAAATATCGCTTTTTCTGTCCATTTCTTCTTACCACACCTTCCTACTGGCCAATAAACAGCTGCGACTCATCTTAGGAGACAATATGCATCGACAGTGTTCACGTGCATTTTATAACATAAACTCTTTGATTTTATCATGCTTTTGGTTATTTCAATATTTGTCGCATTTTGGAACACTATTAGACGTAATTTCATGGGCGGAATAATCTTCTTAAATACCACTCATGCTTTAGAAATTCTCGGATAAATCGCCCCCCTCGTTTTGCGAGTCGGGAATTCATCAACAATTTCCAAAGCATTTTTGGTATTACCTTTTATAATTACTAACAGAGTTTGTTATTTTTGAGTAATTCCTTAATATAATCATTCACGTGGCCATTACAGTGCTGCGATATGACAGTTTGAGAAGGTATTTCGATTAAAAATAAAAAAAGCAAATATTCACTGTAATATATAATATATAAAGTATGGTGCAGTTTATATTTACAGCAAACTTTCCAAATTTTGGAAAATTGCAAAAAAAATAACATTTAAAAATCACAAAATTTAATAGTGGTTTTAACCTTTACGTCTTGTCTAAAATATGCCCTTTAAAAATGTTATGTACACATTTTTGAAAAAGTGTAGATTTTGCGGAACTTATGTGAAATTTATGTTCGATCTCGTTCGAATTGAGCTGGGAACGAGCAGGAACATTAAGGTGTCACGATTCGTGAACCACCAGGTGAACGGGAATCGTGATATGGAAATCGTTGCGAACGGGTCCTGCCTGTCTCTGACCTCCGGGTGGTTTGGTCTCAAAACTTCTTGAGTCGGCGTGGTGTTCAGATCGAATTGTTTGTTGTTTTCAATAAGTGGTTTGCCCCAACCCTTGCAAGGCGGTTTCTGGTGTTGGTTTTTCTAGCGAGCCACGAGGCTTCGTTTTGTCCGCCAGAAGTGAGAAGCAACTTAGCACTTCGCGCTCTCCGCTGCATTAGCTGGTTAAATTGGTAGTTGGGTACTACTGAAGTGCAACCCAATTGTGTTGGCGTGTTGGTGACCGAAGTAAACTGGAACCCGTATCCGACATTTCGGGCATCAGCTGTAAGGTCATCATGGTCGTATAGATATACTTCGGCTACCGCTTTATACTTGGGATTTTATTTTTTGGCGTGCGAGGGCATGTCTTTAAGATAGAATACCTCATGGCATTTGCATATTTCTGTCTTGCCGCCAGATGTCGCATGATCGCGTCCAGCTGGAGCAGTGCTGGAGATCATGCGACAATTCGCGGTACGCCGAGAAATTTGCAGAATGCCGTGAGATATTCCATCGTGAAGATAGGCCCTCACGCACCAAGAAATAAAAACACAAGTGTATGAGCGAACTCTATAACGGTAAGGTAACCTCTTTTGGTGGGTACTATGCTTCAAGTAGCCAGTAGGTTTCTTTTGCCTACTACATCACAAATTTGTTTTTATTTGTATACTGAATATTTTCAGCATCAATGAAGGAAATTTTGTACCTTTCTTCTTCTTCAAATTTTCTCCACGTGTATCAAGGGACAGTAAAAAATATGGTGCTAATCTGATTTTCTGCAAACTGTCCCTATTTTTAAAAATTACGAAAACTTACATTTGAAAACCACGGAATTGAAGATAGATGTAATTTTTTTTAAAACACGAGTTCATTTATTTTAATTTAATTTAAGTCAAAAATGTATGCAATTTCTAAAAAAAAACATTTTCTTAAGTAGCTTCAACTTTTTTCATTAAATTTGTTTGTTGTATGTAACCACGTGTGGTAAAAAATATGGTCCCATTTGTCCCATTTTCGGTGAATTCTCCGTATTATTGAAAATTGCAAAACCGGTGTGGGAAATATTGGGCTATGACAATTACATTTTTAAGCGTCGGCCCGAGTTTGAACCTCCTTGTGGTGTTTCTTTAGCGAGGTCGTATGGCTGACGGCGAGTGAACTCGGAGGACCAGAGCTCGTACCTCTGTGTGGAAAATACTTATTTCTGGTTGAAAACACTTTTGCATATTTACGTAGTGGCATAATATAGCGGAGCAGTTAGAAATAATGCGAAAAAGTGTCTGGTGTTCTAGCCCCACTCATTTACTCTTGCAAGTATGTCCGAACTGATAACATTCGAAAGAAAATTGTCTATATATTTTTCTAAACGAATATGTTAGAAATAAAATCAAATGTTATATTTTATTGTTGAGAAATCGATTTAAATTACGAATTAAATTTAAATTAAAATCGACATTTTAAGTAAAGTAAAGTAGTTAATTACAAATTTCTTCTGTATGTTCAAGACATTATATATAATGTATTACAAATGCTGACAGAGGGCAATAAATACAGATATACAGACAAAAAATTATTTACTGGAATACAATAGTAGGTAATTCACTCTAGTAAGAAGTTAGAAGTATATAATAAAGCGATACACGTTCCTGAGTCAGGAACAGTACTTGACAATTAAATTTATTAAAGTCCGAAGTAATGCAACGTAATATAAATTAGTAATGTAGCACTGAAATTTACCACAATATTTTTGGTTTATTTGCTCCTAAAACGTATATTGTTTCATAAGGAAATTATGGAGAAATAACACATTCTATTTGTTTTGCAAAATTTGGAACAATCTTGGATTCACTTTCTTATCTTGAAAATTTGATTATAAAATGATTAACTTACTTTTTCGAGCTTAATTTATTATTTTACATTTGTATACATACCGTACAGTTCATTTTGACAGTTCAATTCAAATAATTATATGAATTAAGCCATTTTTGTTTGAAAATGTAAGTTGAAAACTTACCATCGTCTTCACTTCTTCAAGATAGTTGTAGAGAATGAAGGTCCTCTTTCACTTTCTCTTGATTCGTAAATGAATAAAAAAAGTCTGGGTTGCTGATATTTCCAAATAAACTCGTTCCAAAATCACAAAGCCGAGTGTTAAGATGTCTTTACATTAAAAATTAATTCTCCGACAGACCATCAAAGTGAATTTCTAATTCACCATTTTCCTGTCTTCTACTAAACGCGAGTGTTTTGATTTCTTTCAATAACGGTTGCCGTCTTTAGGAAAATATTTTAGGTCAGGACTGACCAAATGGACTCTGACGACTATCAGGT